AAAAAAATTATTTGTTTTATATAAATATTAGTTTTAGTGACTTTATTTTTTAAGGATGTCCTACATAGAATTTAACAATCGAATAATTAAATTTTCATTCAAGTTAATCAGTAAAGCACTGTCAAAACAGTAAGTTTTTTTACATAGCCATTCATATAATAAGAAAACAACCATATTTGATTACCTTCAGTGACTGTTATCACATGATAACATCAACATTTGAAATTGTAACCTGATAATAGTTATTGTAGACAATTGGAAATGTTTATTTGCTTATTAAACATATTGCTGGTGTATATGAATTTTTTATTTACACATCTATATATATAAAAATGAATGTATGTCTGTGTGTCTGTGTGTGTGTCTTATGTCCTTCATGCATTACCACACCGTTTATTTGTTTGCCGTGAAACTTTAAGAAGTTGTTTAATATACTCCGGCGAAGGTTTGTGGCATAGTACGATTGCAATAAAACTTTGGAAAGTTTTTTTAATTTATTAATACACTGACGCGAAGTACATTTATCCTACGATAGATAACGCGCGTTTACACGAGCATTCGCGCACAGTGTGTTCTATCGATTTCAAATTGTNTGTAATAGACATTTATATAGATTCTGTTTAAAAGTATCAATTATAGGCGAAAGATAAATGGCAAGTCAATTTTACTAGCAAAAAACTCATGGATTAAATGTTATAGATGAAAAACATCGGATATAACTGGTTGGATTAAACATAGTAATTTACAAAAGGTTATTAAATCATTTCACAATCTATAACAAATTATTTTTATCTAAAGGTGGATAGACAGGAAAAAGAAATTATTTTAAAAACTGGAGCTACAGTTATTTAGACATCGAACTTCTTCGATGTCAAACTTCAGATAATATTTAAAAAATTGTTATTGTCACAAATATTATAAAAAAAAGCATTGTTTTGGTTGTGATATATAATAAATAAGTAACAAATATAATTTAAATAATTATTATATTGAACTATTTCCCTATTTTACTTTGTCTTATTGTTAAAATATTATTTTAAGTTGTCGTGTTTTAATTTACTCTGATATTAGAACAAATTGTAAAAATTATTATTGCAAATTAATTTTATATGAAGCAATGAACTGAACTGAGAAGTTTTCTAAATACTAAAATTATTATTGCTGATCGTTTGATCTGAAATTATTATATCTGAAATGATTATTGTTTCAAAATATTTTATGAAAACTAAAAAAATGAAATGAATTAAAAAGTTTTCTAAATATGAAAACTGAAAAAAAGAAAAAAAAACCGATTTGAGAATAAAAATACTTATAATTTTAATTTACTCAAGAAATTTTTTTATCTAAAAATAATTTATAAGTTGAAAAATTAATTTGAAAATTAAACACCACAAATTATTTGTAATCTTAATTTAATTGACATCTGAAATTAATTTTGTGATCAAGATCTCTATTGAAAAATTAATTTACTTAAAATTTAATTGGAATAAAGTCACTGAATTCTAAAATCTTTCAAATAATTTTATTAAGTAATACATACATAAGTTTGATATAAAAAAATTTAAATTACCAACGATTAAAAACTACGACTTTAAGTGTATTAGAAGATTATCTAAACTGGGATTATGTTTCTCATTACCAAATACTTAGCCAGCAATTTATTGTTAAAATAAAATTAATTTAATTCAAATTTATAAAAACATTTAATAATTAATACAGCCTTATTGTTACAAGATATTTTATAAAAACTAAAATGAAATAAAAAGTTTTCTAAATATTTATAATCTTAATTTAATCGAGAAATTTTTGATCTGAAAATAATTTATATCCTAAAAAATTATTAAATGCAGAAATTTCATGGTTTAGATAAACTGAAGGAAAAAGTGGAAACACTTAAATAATCTGTAACGTACAAATAAAAACTTTTTCAAAATAATTTCAGTGTTATATTATTTTAAACTGTCATGTACCAGAATATTAAGACAAATATCCATCAAGAAAATAATTAATTCTAGTATTGATGATAAAAATAAAGAAAATTCATTCTGGTGTTATATTATTTCATACAATTATTGCAATCTTAATTTATTTGATAGTGATTTACTCAAAAAATTAATTTTGCAATCTGAAATAATTCTATTCAACAAATTTTTATTTGCAATTTTAAAAGATTATTTGTAATTATAATTTATTCAACATCTGAAATTAATTTTGTGATCAGTATGTGTCAAACCAGTACTACTGCTATCAAATCCTAGATTTTACAAAGATCAGTTTATAACTTTAATAGAAAGAAATAAAAAACTTGTCGAGGAAATGAATGTAAACGAATTAAAAGATTTGTTAGGATTTAAAAAAAGCAAATTTTCTGAAGGTGAATACGTGAGCGACTATCCTGTCGAATTATCTGCTGGAATTTTAGAAATTTTTCTTTATTCGGATATCGTTTCTTCTCATCATGTTGGGGATACAACCACTCCACTTTTAAGGGTTATACCTGTAATGGGGGAAAAGTCAGATCAAATAGTTAGAGTCTACCAATCACCTCTATACTTTCCTTTATCACGTAATTATATAGATACAATCGAAATCGAGCTGAGAACTGCTAGCGGAAAAGAAATTGTCTTTTTTGGAAAAAAGACATTAATAGTTTTATCCTTTAAACTGATATAAATATTGGTATATTTTATTTATTAACGTTAGTTCGTCTTTGTGAAGTAGAAAATGAAGCTCGATCCGCGAGATTGTAAAGATTATTATTGCAATCAAGCAGGAATAATGATACTGAAACACAATTTTCTATTATTTACACGACAATTCGGCAGAGGGACTTATTTTGCTGGACCGCAAATACAGATATGGATTTCTCGGGAATTTATTTTGTAAATTTATTCCTATTCTTAGTAAAGTAAAAAAGTATCTGGGAGATAAAGCTTTAAAATTTGCATCGTATGTCAGATCAGATGTAATTGAAGGGAAGTCGTTTAAAGAATTTACAAAAAATCGTTTTAAAGATGTACAATCTGAAATTAAGGAAGACGTGCTTAAATAAGTGCAGACAGGATCGGGTATAAAAGGAAAGCGACCGAAAAGAGTAACTCAGTCTCAAAAGAAGACGCAAAAATTTAACGATATTTTCGGTAATTAAGAAACAATGGACGTCCATTCGTGTAGCTGCACCAAATCCGAATTAGATTTATTTAGTATTGTTTCCACGCAATTGACCATCGACAATACTCATGAAGTCATCACACATCCTTTGGCAAATATTAGTGACAGTAGAGCACCTATAGAGTTTCTTATATCAGGATCGGGTGAGCATTATATGGATCTACATTCGATTTATCTATGTGTTCAAGCGAAAATTGTAAAGAAAGACAGATCAAACCACGGCTCGGAAGAGAAAGTTACTCCTGTTAATTATTTTTTAAATAGTTTGTTTTCTCAAAGTACTGTTTTTTTAAATGAGAAGCTCGTAATTTCGCAGGCTAATTATCCCTATCGAGCTATATTAGATGCCTTGCTATTTAATTCGAAAGAAGTGCAAGAAACTTTTTTAACGAGCGCGTTATTTTTTAAAGATACTGCTGGACAAATGGATTCGATAAATCCGTTAGATGAAAATAATACTAACTACGGATTAGTTAAAAGATTTAACATCAGCAAAGAAAGTAGAATAATAGATTTAATGGGGCATCTTCATATCGATTTAGCGAATCGGCCTAAGCTTTTAATGGACAATGTAGATCTAAGAATTAAATTGGAGAGATCTAAAGAGAATTTTGTGCTTATGGCAAATAACGACGACTAAAAAATTATTATTAAAAACGCATCACTTAAAATTAATAAAGATGACGTTAGTTTGTCAATACAGATAGGAATTGAAAAAGCGCTCCAAACCGGTATAATTAAATTTCCGTTCCGTCGAACAGATGTGAAAGTCTTTACATTAACTAGCGGGATTCAATCTACAAGTATATCAAACGTTGTTATCGGCCAACTACCTTATAGAATAACTCTCGGATTAGTTTCTAATTCTGCATTTAATGGAAATGTGAAGCNTTCAAAATAATTTCAGTGTTATATTATTTTAAACTGTCATGTACCAGAATATTAAGACAAATATCCATCAAGAAAATAATTAATTCTAGTATTGATGATAAAAATAAAGAAAATTCATTCTGGTGTTATATTATTTCATACAATTATTGCAATCTTAATTTATTTGATAGTGATTTACTCAAAAAATTAATTTTGCAATCTGAAATAATTCCATTCGATAAATTTTTATTTGCAATTTTAATTTAATTTTTAAAATTATTCGTAATTTTAATTTATTCGATAGTAATTTACTCGAAAAATTAATTTTGTGATCAGTGCTACTCAAACCACTACTACTAATCTATACTAATATTATAAAGAGGTAATGTTTGTATGTATGTATGTTAGTTTGTATGCAGCAGGTAATCTCCGAAACTACTCATCCGATTTCAAAAATTCTTTCACCAATGTTTAGAATGGAACTTCAGGGTGGACGTAGGCTATATATTATTCCGTTAAACATGGGGGATGGACAGTTCTTTACGGTAAGCCTTACGGAAAAGGTTACCGTAAAGAACTCTGCTTCTATTTATACCATTTTAGATGCAGTTTTTTCCGTTTTTGATTGCGTTTTAATAGAGTACGTCAACAGAATGTACACTAAGAAGGGATTTTTCGATAT